TTAATTAATTTGCATTCATGATGTCAGAGAAACTCGACGAGTTGGATGCCCCAACTCGCCGAGTAGAGGAGTTAATGGCCGCATGATTTTTAGAGTCCACTCGATGAGTTGGAGGACCCCAATTCGACGAGTAGGAGCTGAGTGAGAAAATCCTAATTTTCAGGGTTTGTGTCATATTTAAAGAACCTTAAGCCTTCATTTCCGCCTTCCTTATCATCTTAACAGTCTAAGAGAAACGCTAATTGAGCTATATCCTTGTGTGAGAGAAATAGGGGCTAACATTGCATATTTTAGTGCATTTTTGGAGGAAGATTGTGGAGCAAAAGGCTTGGGATGAGAGGGAGCTTTTGGATTTGGTGTTCATTCATTCATAGCTTCTACTTGAAGGTAAAAAGTTACCACCTTGATCATTATTTGGTTAGATCTCTTTTCTAGGGGTTTAGGGCCTTTTCCATCCTTCTTTGAGTTATAGAGTTGTTTGAGCTTGCCATGGTGTTGAGACTTAGGATCTAGACAGTATGAGGTCCCTTGAGCCCAAAGATCCAAGCATTATCAAGCTAGTGGCAAGATTTTATGCATTAAACCCCATATAGAGCTTGTTTTGGCATTTCGAGCCCTAGATGCCATGCATGGACGTAAAGCTTGCAGCTTTACATGGTATTTTAGCCTTGGGAGGCTAGATCAAGAGTCTGGGACATTATTTCTACTTAGAATTGTCTAAATGAGAATTGGTCTAAAGGGACTCGACGAGTGCATGAGCCAACTCGATGAGTCAACTATGGTTTTCCCCGATAGACTAGACGCGCTACAACTCAGCGAGTTGATGAGACAACTCAACGAGTTGAGTGGATTTTCCCGATACTTTAGAGGAAACGAAAGAACTCGACGAGTTTAGTCAACATGGACTGTTGACTTGGGCGTTGACTTACGTTGACTTTTACGGTTTGGTCAATTGTGGACCTTGGAGACCATGGAGGGGTAAAATGGTCTCTTCACCCTTTTGAGATTTAGTGGATGTCACACCTCCAAACCTGAACGAGGAAAACATTCGGGGGCGGAGGACGTCATGTATAGTATCACAACAGTTACATAATAGTAATTAAAGTACAACAACCGTGCATTGATAAAGTATAAGTTTTTACATATGTGTTCAAATCATTGTATATTGACACCAAAACATATAATAAAAGTTAAAATACATGAATCTCTAATGCTCCGTCTTCTCAAAAACTTTTGGATGTACCTGTTTTACTGGTTTCCTGAGAATACAAGTTATTTGAGAAAAAATATCAACATTTAAGTTGGTGAGTCAATAAGCATTTGTATGAAAATATATGCCATTCCATGAGATGAAATCACGTTTGTTTCCAGAAAATCCGATATTTTCTATAAAACTGAACTGTAAGTTGTTTGTTTGTAAGTAATCGTATCTATCCCAAAAAATCCTATATTTCCATAAAACTGAATTGTAGTCTTATATATATATATATATATATATATATATATATATATATATATATATATATATATATATATATATATATATATTCCAAGACTGATTAGTATAAGTATAAATGCCATACTTAATTTTGTAACATGTAGTTTTATTCGAAAATAAAACCATTTGATGTGCTGAGTAATTACGTAAAATAAATATAATATTAACTTCACATAAAAATAATGTATTGTTGTTTATCATGTGAGTTTTTATAACCGTCCGAACAAATAATTTGCATGTCGCGACGTTCTTCAAATGTCGTTATGTTTGATATTTGCCACCCATAACATGCTGGTCGTGCTGTAGCTAACAGCCAGGGTGCAGGCTCATCAATCCTGTATAGATCTATACACAAGTATCACACTTTCCGGGAGGAGACTCTAGTTATAAAACAGGACTTCCATGTATACCTTGGGTAGGTACAATGAAGATGAATGACTCACAATTCATCATGTTTATAATATAAAAATAATCGTATTTTTATATAATCGTTTCTTTGTCCTGAAAGGGGTAAAATAAGGAGAATCTAACCCAAACTATATATATTATAGTTTACAATGTATGTTTCATTTGATCTGATAATTGTTGTGTCATAAGATGTTATGTATGCATATGTTTTCACGTAATAGCTATATGAACTGAAAGAAAACACAACAATGGTTGGTATTTTAACACAAGTTTCCTTGTGTTTTAATTGTATTCCCTTCCCCCTCTCCCCCCTTTAAAACATGGAAAAAGTTATAAAAAGTGTAGGGGTATGAACTCACTTGATAAGTGGTGATTTTGGCAACGCTTTGTTTCTAGAAATGATTTTTGTTGACGAAACCACGAGTTTTTGTTGAAAACTAGGCTTTACGCAGGCAGAGTTTCGACTGAAAAAGATTATTTTCTCGAGGACTTCGATGGCTTCTGGCTTTCTTCGGGTATTAGGGAGGTTTCCCTAGGCTTTGGGGGGTTTTAAAAGGGCTTAAGGGAGTATTTAAGATGAAAGTGTGGTAAAAAATGTAACCACAACTCGGTGGTCTCGCATGTTATTAATAGGAGGCTGAGGCTTCGCCTTACGTTGGGCGTACTTCGGTACACTGGGTGTACTTCGTTATACACAACAGACCTTCATACGTTGTGCGTAGATACGTGACCTCTAATCGGGTTCCGAGCTTCAGACGTGCTTAAGCTATATACACATGTCCAGAATGCGTAGGAATAGGGTGATGTGGCCAACTCCGGACCAAGTTTCCGAGTACGCTGGGCGTACGACTTCAGACTTCAATTTTTCATACTTCGAAAATTCACAATTTTCGCATACGAGCTCCATTTTGAGGTTTTTTATATCCACATGTAGGTGAGACCGTACTCTACAACTTTCATTTAGACTCCGTCGGCTGATATTTACTTTATTTTTTAATATTATATTTTTAACAGGCCGGGACAGAAAAAGTCCGTTAAAATTTTATAACTTCTTCATACGAAGTCCGTTTTCGTCTGTCTTTTTACCGTTGAACTACTACTGACAAGATCTTCAATTCTCGTTTAGGTTATGTTGGCTAAAAATTGCCCGATCTTTAATTCGAATTTCAGGTTGTATATTGTTGTGCCAATTCTTAGAAAAATCATAACTTCCTCATAAGAAGTTAGATTTGGATGTTCTTTTTATGCACACTCTCAGTTTATTGTATACTACAAGTTTTATTTAGATTGTTAAGACTAGAAAGCATTTTATCGTAAATTCACTTTTTACATCATACCATGTCGTGCCAGTTCCGTCGTGAAACTTCGATCGGTCATAACTTCTTCGATACAATTCGGATTTCAACGTTCTTTAAATCTTTTGAATCATTGTCACTACCACTACAAGTTTCTTCATAGATATTGAGTTTATCTAACATTTTTTTTATGATCATTTTTATCTTAATTTATACATCTTTATAAATAAATAAATGCACATAACATTCAAATAATTTCTCTTTATTACTTTAAAACTAGTTACAATGGTTGACCTAGACTTTTACATTGACTTGAAATATCGGGTTGTTACAGTGGATGAGTTAGCTTAACATCTCGGAGTGGTTATTACAAATTGCTTATTAGAGATAATTATATTATGTAGGCGGAGTCTAGACTGTTCGTGGGGTACTAGATCTACTTGCTTACTTACGGGGTGAGTCTTCTCACTATACTTACCTGAGCGGTAACACTATGTGACCTGAGGGTTTTATTTGAGTTATTGATCGGAGGGTCCTATCTACTTATATCGAGTTATGTGATATTATGCATTTTTGTCTTTGTGATGTATCCTATATTATTCTGTGCCTTACTGAGTTAGGATCGGAGGGTCTAAATCGAGTTGTGAGACCGGAGGGTCTTCAATGAGATACAGGACTGGAGGGTCCAACCCGAGCTATGAGACCGGAGGGTCTTCACTGAGACACATGATCGGAAGATCCACATCGAGTCGTGAGATCGAAGGGTCCTCACCGAGACGCATGACCGGAGGGTTCATGCCGAACTATAACCATTAGAGGCTTATTATTTTTCAAGGTTGTAAAAATCGTTCGACGGTAGCTCGACGGTCGACTGGTGTTAAGGTATTAATCGGGGATTAATCGGAGACCATAGATTATTAATAAACTATTAAAATTAATTAAATATTAATATATCTTAAGAAAAACAAGTACTTCAAAATTAAAAAATAAGAAAAATTGTAATTTGGAAATACGAAAATATGAACATTTTGGTATAATATTTGAAATTTTGAAAATTTGAAAATTTTGGATTAAAAAAAGTTGATTTTTTGAAAAAAAAAAAAATTTAATATTTTTTTAAAATTTTATTAAAATTTTTTTGACATTTTTTTGATTTTTTTCGACTTTGTTGACTTTTGTTGACCGAGTAATCCCGCCAAGGCCGATTAATCCCGCCAAACTCGATTAATCATAAATTTCCGATTAATGCCTTAATCCTCGACGGTTGGAGAAAGCTAAACGATTAATCCACGATTAATCGCCGATTAATCTTGATTTCTGCAACCATGTTATTTGTATATGTGGTATTTTGGGGAACTCACTAAGTTTCGTGCTTATCATGTTGTGTTTCAGGTACCTCTCAGGATTACGGAAAGATGTCGGCTTGATTGTACACACCTGTTCGAGATCAAGTTTGAAGATTCTGGGATATTATGAGTTGTTTTGTTGATGTGTGTTTTTGACAATTGATACTACGTGGTTTTGAGAAAAAGTGATATTGAGTTTCATTTTATTTAAAACGAAAAATTTGTTTGAAAATTTAGAACGTTAGAAATAAAGTTTTAAAAAATGTTTGACAGATTTTGATTAGTTAGAGGAAAAGTGTGGCACAGTTATGAGTTGTTTTAAAAGAATCTTCATCTAAATATTCATTTTAATTTATACCGAGTCCATAATATATTTAAAAAAATACACATTTAAGCTTTCTAAACACCCTCTCGCAGTTAGAACTTTTGGCGTAAACATACGAAGAAAGATATAACAATTTTGATATGCTTCAAACACATACTCAGCTTCAGATTTAGGCGTAATCTTTTTATTTTTTTAACCATAAACTAACGTATTCCTAAATACTATTTATATCCCCTAATCAGAAGTAATTTAGGTGTAATCATGTAATTAAAAAACCTTGTTTGTTTTTGCAAAATATATTGAAAAAAAAATTCATATAAACGTAGCGGTGACTTTATCTTTGTTTATTTTTATAAAAAAAAATCCTTATTATTTTATCGACAAAGTGATGATCTGATGGTATGCTTCTTTGGAGATTAAAAAAGAATCTACTCAGTCCTGCTTTCACTCATTGATTGTCTGAACCGCCTTCATTTTTCTCTCTCTTTCTCAAAGAATCCTCATCTCTCTTCCCCGCACGCCATCCACCACCCAAAAACACTCAAAACACATCCTCAATCTGCAAATTACTTTCATCAAAATCACTAACAAACCAATAAATCATATCTTATATTCCTATTAACTAAAAAAATATGTCTTCACCCAGCAAGCGACGGGAGATGGATTTGATGAAGCTGTAATTCAACGAATTCAACAACTAAAATTTCTTTTACTTTTTTTTTTTTTCCTCTGGGTATATTTGTTCAAGAATCTCAACTTATTGCTTTTTTTTTTTTTTTTTGATTCATCTCGTGAATTAGGATGATGGGTGATTATAAAGTAGATATGATCAATGATGGTATGCAAGAGTTTTATGTGCAGTTTCATGGACCAAAAGACAGTACGTTTCGTATCCATCTGTTTCTGCTATTCTTTTGCTTTTCTGATATATATGAACGAAAATCTCCTTATTTTTCAGTTGATTTGATTGCAAAACTTTATGGGTATTCATCTGAACATAAAATAGATGAAAAAAAATGTTATCTTTGTGGGTATATCATGTTACTTTTGGTTCCGTTATTCCGTTGTATTGACATGTTTCTCGCATAGTTGAAACCCCAGAAGTTTGTGTTCTCAGTGTTGGGTTAAATGAACCTAATTGAATCCCTTCAGGAATTTATGTGTGTTTTATGTTCTTAATTTATTTATCAATTCGATTCCACTTTCCCAAATTCGCAATTATCAGGGATTAAAATATGGGTCCTTTGTCTCATTATACACTTAACATTACTGTTATGTTGATACAACATCTTTTTGTTATGCAAATTGGACTGTGATTTAGACAATAGCTCCATCAAATTTTTTACAAAATGGTTATAACGATTTCTGATGCCTTTTTTTTTTTTTTTTTTTTTTTTTTCTAGCGTACTCTTTGTAACGAAGTTGGATGTACGCAAATTGTTGAACCATGTAAATATTGTGTGTTTTTGTTGAGTCATGTGAACATTGTGTTCGTGTGATCTTTTGTTCCTTGCAAATTAATCATAATGCTGATATAATCTTGAGTTCTTTCTCTTTACATGACTATCCCACTTCCCGAAATTTGTGATTAATCGTCAAAACTGCAATAAAAGATTAGTTATTATTGACCATTGATGATGTGTCAGGTCCTTATGATGGAGGTGTTTGGAGAATAAGGGTGGAGCTTCCTGATGCATATCCATACAAATCTCCTTCAATTGGTTTCATCAACAAAATCTACCATCCAAATGTGGATGAAATGTGAGCTCCTTTAGCTCTAATTACAATAAAAGCATTAAGCAAGCTCTTGATTGTTGTCAACAACAAATGCGACTTTTTGCAGGTCAGGATCGGTTTGTTTAGATGTTATTAACCAGACATGGAGCCCGATGTTTGGTAAATCAACTTATCACCATTGTTATGTGGTCTATTCTACAATTTTCAATTTTTTTGGTGATTAATGAATTATTGTCTCTAATCTGCAGATCTTGTGAACGTGTTTGAAGTTTTTCTTCCTCAGCTTCTTTTGTACCCTAATCCATCTGATCCCTTAAATGGAGATGCTGCAGCGCTAATGATGCGAGACAGAACTGCATATGAACAAAAAGTTAAAGGTAAGTACAAAATCGATTGAGCTGAAATCTTCCCATAATTAACAAATGCTGATAGTATTGATTTTTGGTCTCTAATGATCGAGGGTATTTTGCCCTAAATCGAAAACTATTAAAGTAGGATCCCTAAAAATAAAATTGAAAGTGGGTGAATTGAAGATTTGTGTTTAATTTGTTATCAGAGTACTGTGAGAGATATGCAAAGCCAGAGGATGCTGGAGCTGTGCCTGAAGAGCAATCGAGTGATGAGGAACTGAGTGAAGCTGAATACGCGTCTAGTGATGAAGAAGTAGCTGGAAAAGCCGACCCTTGAATGCATTTGTATCATGTTTATGTTCGTATGTACATCGTAACTAGTCTTTTTAAGCTTAAAAAAAAAAAAAAAAAAAAAACATTTAGCCCTCTAAAGGGCAATTTGCTGGAATAATTCTTGTAAAAACTTGTGTCTTTTGTAACATTTGTTGTTTATATTTGATTAATTCTAATGTTTCTGTGTCAAATGCTTCAAATGCTATGCTGTTTGTTTTGGGAAACATTGTGACATTTAATTGCTTAAAATGAAAAATGCTTTTTTTTTTGGTACAAGTTATAACTTCACGAGTCACAACCTCTACTTTTAATCGCATTAAATGGAAATGTATTTTTCGTCCAAGTTATAATCTAGTCGCTGAGAGGGAAAAAGGCTTCAACTTTGAAAAGTTATCATATTTTGCTTTATTACTCTTTTGTTGATTTTGATGAAGTCATCGTCGTATCAAAAACATGATTCACATTTTAAGTCACTTTATGTTGCTGGTTTCATTGAAAGTCCTTGAACCAAAAGTGACGTCTGCAATGCAAGTATAGTCTTCATCTATTATTGTAAAAATTACGATAAATACCATTATACCATGTTGCACCGAAAGTGGAGTACAAAAAGGTTATATCTCAAAGATTATGACAGAAAACTTGAACCTTGGGAGATGACGAAGACTCTCGAGGACGAGTCTTTTCGGATAGGGAAGTATTAGGAGGCCTGGATCTTCATTGGACAAGCAAACTAACCTTTGTGTTTTTGAGTTTAATAAAGAAAAAGAGGGGAAAGAAATAGAGTAAAAAAGAAAGATATATTGTATTTATGTGAGTTTGAGTTTGAAAGAAAAGAAAGGAAAACCATGATTTTGGACTCATCTAATGATGGAGAGCAAACGTATTTGAGATGCTTTAAAAAACCGTGATTATGAAAGGTGAAACTGATAACAATAAAAATTTATATTTGCAGTAGGTTATTTTTCTCTAAATTCCTTAATTTTAAAATTAGACATTTCTTTTTTTTTTTTCAAAAAAGAAAAAAAGAAAAAAGTAAACAAGATTTTCTTTATTTTCAATTTTTTCATTTAAAGATTAGACATTTCTTTTTTTCAAAAAAAAAAAAATGAAAAAAGTAAACATGATTTTCTTTATTTTCCATTTTTTTCCACTCGAAAAATACATCATAAATTGATCTACCCTAATCTGCTGAAGACCTATTACCAGTATAATTTGGAAATGTTTTTGACATTAATTTAAGGGTAAATTAAAAAAATTAACTCGCACTAAATTTTTTCCCTTCAATTTGGACACTTTGTTTTAACGTATTATTACAAATCTAACAACTAAACCAGGTTATCATACGATGTAAGATGTCGACGTGTCAATTTTGATAACGTAAAATGCTGACATGGTATGATAACGAAACTACTTTGTGACATTATATATGAACGTAAAAATTAAAAAATAAAATAAAAAACAAAATAAAAAATATAGCCACTTTTGTAATAGATAAATATGATGACAATAGTGATAGTTATCCAAAATATAATGATTTTTGTAAAGTTATTGATAAATTAAGTATGCATTAAATTATATGTATTTTGTTAAACAACATAAAAAAAATCAATAAATACTTACTTTAAAAAATGTTATATATTTTTTAACCAAATGAAATATATTTATATATAATTTATCTTTATTTGATTAAAATTTATTTTTATATTATTTATCAGTTTTATTATATTTAATGTAATAATTATTTATCATACAATAAATTTCAAAGATGCTTATGCACAATATCAATGTTGACGAGAGCAAAACTTGGTGTAGATAAGATCAAACATGGAAAATGGTTGTTGTATAAGATAAGTATTTGATATTTTTTTCATTAAGGCTGTAAACTAGGATAGTTTGTTATCTCTTTGTTTTCTTGTATAAATGTATTCCTCTGTTGATTAATGAAATATATAAGGAAGAATTCTTCCTCCACAAATACTCGTATTCATTATCACATGGTATCAGAGCATACATGATCAAATCGAAGGACCTCGTACGTATTATCGAAGCCTTGAAGAATGGGTGACAAAGGAGAATCATCAAATCCCTCACAAGTTATCGTTCAAAATGTGCAAGATACGCCATTTCTAACAGGAGAAGTCATTCTCGATGACACAAACTACCCTTTGTGGTCTCAACTAATGGAGATGAGGATCGAAGCTCGAAACAAATCTAGTTATCTTACCGGAAAAACAGCGAAGCCTAAAGATGGTGAAAAGGAGATCGAAACATGGTTGAATGATAATAACAAAGTTAAAAGTTGGTTGATCGACTCAATGACTCCGTCTCTCATCCGTCGATTCATCCGTCTCCAAACAGCAGTAGAATATATGGGATGCAGTCTCCAAGACTTTCTATGATGGGACTGATGAAACTCAATTGTTCGAACTAAACAGAAGATCATTCAGTACATGACAATCTGGGCATGCCTTATCAACATATTACAATGAGTTGGTGAGCATTTTCCAAGAAATCAATATTCGCTTAACCACCCAAGAAGAATCAGTGGACGGAATTGTCTATGTGAACAACACCATATCTGGTTCCCGTGTGCATATCTTTCTGTCTGGACTGGATCCTGAATTCAATCATGCTCGAAGTGAAATTCTCAGAAAAGATCCTCCTCTAAGTTTGGAGTCCTGTTATGCCTATATCCAGAACGATCAAAGCCAAAGACAGACCATGGAGGAACAAAAACATGAACCTAATAGCGTGGTTCATTTGGCTACTAGAAATCGTATCCAAAAAGGAAAGAATCTGAACAACAAAGTAAACACACACACATGCACACATTGTGGGGAAGAGGGACACTCCAAGCTCAGATGCTATGAGATTATCGGGTACCCCGACTGGTGGGACTTTACAAAGAAACCCAGAAAGAAGATCATCCAAACTATTGTTATCACAACTCCTCAAAATAATGAACTGAACGTCCTAATCGTTGCTCACTCATCCACTCACACCGGTATGTCTCAAAGTAACCTTACTCGAAATGATACTTGGATAATAGATACAGGGGCAACCGATCACGTGATTAATAACTCATCAAAGTTGATAACCTCTCACATCCCTAAACAACCTAAGGTACATACAACAAATGGAGGTATGGTACCTATTACAAGTAAAGGGTCCGTAAAATTGTCTAGTACAATGGACTTAGATACAGTCTTAGTAGTTCCTTCCTTATCCTCAAATTTGTTATCTGTTAGCCAAATAACTGAGGCTTTAAATTGTTATGTGATTTTTGGGCCAAACAACTATGTGTTTCAGGATATAGTGACTCATCGGATTCTTGGTTATGGTACTAGACAAGGACGACTATATTATTTTGAAGAGAATCATCAAAGTCAAGCTCTTAATACTCTAATTAGGAAAGCAAATAAGTTTGTGGCATGGCTGTGGCACCGAAGACCAGGACATTTATCATTTTCGTATCTTAGGAAATTAAAACCAAATTTAATTTTGAACTTAATGGATAATGAGTTCAAATGTGGAGTGTGTGAGTTAGCCAAAAACAAGCACATCTCTTATTCTTCTAGTAATAATAAAACCAATGTTCCTTTTATGGTGATTCACTCTGATGTTTGGGGACCCGCAAAGGTTCCTACACCAAATGGTGCTCAATATTTTGTGAATTTTATTGACGAATGTACAACAAAGATCTGGATATCCCTTCTTAAAACCAAAGATGAAGTTTACTATCCATTTCAAGAATTACATCACATGGTTAAAACAGTGTACAAGAAAGAAATATATGTATTACAATCAGACAATGGGGGCGAATACATAAACAACATAATGCAACAGTTCTGTAGAGAGAATCACATCAAACTTCAAACTTCTTGTGCTAGATCTTCTCAACAGAACGGTCTAGCAGAAAGAAGGAACAGGCAAATACTTGAAATTGTTAGGGCATCCTTATTTGATATGAAAGTACCACGGAAATATTGGGGAGAGGCCGTACGATCCGCAACATACTTGATGAATAGAACTCCCTCAAGTGTCATCGAATTCAAAACCCCAGTACAAAAAATGCAGGAACTCACAAATATGCCTGTAACCAATGGCCTTGAACCTCGGGTATTTGGATGTAGTGCATATGTCCACCAAAACATAGGGAAGCTTGAACCTCGAGCTGTCAAATGCATGTTTGTTGGATATGCTGATCAGAAAAAAGGCTACAGATGTTATGATCCCTCAAACAATAAAATGTATGTAACCCGGGATGTCGCCTTTCATGAATCAGAATCATACTTTGGTAATGAGTCTTCATGTCAGGGGGAGAAAATAATGAAACGAATACACATCACCAAATGGAACATAGTCAGTTCTCTGTTAACAACCCTATAGACTCACTAGTGGAGAGTGAAAAGGTTAATTCTGATGTTAATCTTGAAAACGACTCCCACATTAATCTTGAAAGCGATATCCGGTTTGAAAATTATGACAATGAGGCTGAAACAACCGAAGATGAACTCGTCGAAGAGCAGAACCAAAACACATCTGCTGTCATGCAGGAACCATTATTAACTAACAATTCCGAAATTACCCTTGGTGATACTGTCCAGGAACCAGAAACAAGAACAGAATCAAGGTTACCGGCTAGAGCTAACCAAGGAATGCCAAAGAAGCAATATGAACCAGACATTAACGCGAAGTCTAAGTACCCAATCAACAACTTCATCTCATCACATCGACTAGCAACCTCCCATGCACTGCTAGTGAAGGAGCTGTCCACTGTTGCCATTCCAAATAATGTACAAGAAGCTGTGAAAGATTCAAGATGGAAGACTGCCATAAATGTTGAGATGGAGGCATTGCAGAAAAATCAAACATGGGATCTCGTGAAGCTTCCTCCCGGAAAGAAAACAATGGGGTGTAGGTGGATTTACACCGTCAAGCTAGATCAAAAGGGAAATATTGATCGGTATAAAGCAAGGCTAGTAGCAAAAGGATATACACAGAAGTACAGAATTAATTACAGCGACACGTTTGCACCAGTAGCGAAGATGAACACAATTAGAATCCTACTTTCCATTGTTGCAAATGAAGACTGGCCACTGAAACAGTTCGATGTAAAAAATGCCTTCCTCAACGGGCATTTAGAAGAAGAGGTGTACATGGATCTACCATCGGGGATAAATGGTAGCGGGAAAGTGTGTAGATTAGAAAGAGCAATGTATAGTCTAAAACAATCTCCTCGAGCGTGGTTCAATTGATTTTCTAATTTTATGAAGAAGATAGGATATAAACAAAGTGATGTCGATCACACTTTGTTTGTAAAAAAACACTGGAAAAATCATTGCC